TTTATATCATTATTTGGAATGTCAAGAACCAAAATGTATGGTTTCATTGTCAATTAATACAGTATCTCCCTCTTGTAATTTCAATATCACATTCTTTCTTTTTCTTTTTTTCCCATAATTTATATGCTAGCCCAGTGGTGGCGAACCTATGGCACGTGTGCCAGAGGCGGCACTTGGAGCCCTCTCTGTGGCACATGTGCCATTGCCCCAGCTTTGTCTCCCCCCATGACCCCCTCCTTACCAGCAGCCCCCCTGGAGGAGAGTCATCCCCAAGTGTGACTCACATGGAGCAGCACAGCCAAGGACATGGAACCCAGGCAGCATAGACAAGACTTGTGCCCTCATGCCCCCCAATTGCGCACAGTTGATGCTGCAGGGCACGGGCAGAGGGCAAGGCTGCCATGGCACTGCTGGGCTGCCTGGCCGATCTGCAGCGGGCCCTGGAGTCAGAGAGTGGCCCTGCGGGCAGGCAGGGTGGAGGCGGGGCAGGGGGTGGAGCAGGGGCGGGGCCAATTTTTGGGCACTTGGTCTCTAAAAGGTTCGCCATCACTGTGCTAGCCACTTCCCTGGCTTATTTGCAAATTCATTTTTTTTCCTTTACATAATTCATTTTTATTTATATTTCTTTTACTATTAAGGTAGATAATCATTTGTAAATGTTTAATTTGTTGAGAAATATATATCTTACCTGGAAATTTCTTTAATTTTTCTTCTTTTTTCTTTGTTTCATTCAAAACAGTTTTCCCCCTCTTTTTTATGCATAAAATAACTTTTAACAAAAACTTTAATTGCATCCCAAACTATTTTTAAATCAGTGCCTTTACCTAAATTATTTTCAAAAAAGTATTTAATTACTTTTTACAATTCTCCACTATTGCTTCTTTCTGAAATAACATTTCATTTAGTCTCCAACTAAAGGAACTAGATTTCTATTTGTAAACCAAACTCACAGGAGTATGATCCAGGAAAAAATATTTGGTAATATTTCTACTTTAGAAAGCTTAGTAACCACTTTCTTTGAAATACAATTTATGTCTATTCTTGAAAGAATAGATATGCCTTTCAGAAAAGTACCGTAAGTATAGTTTCTTGAATTGCCATTTTTGATTTTGTATATCAACCAGTCCTAAATTGTCCATCGAATCAAAGAAAACATTTGGTAATTGGCCTTTAGTGATTTTGATATTTCCCCCAAAAAAGTTTAATTCAGTTGGGGTCAGATCACTTCATTCCAATCCTTCATGAAGCACACATTTTCATTAGAAAAACCTATTAATCTCTACATAAGTCCTTTATAAAAGAATACATTGTCTTCATTTTGGATATAAATTCATATGTCAAAATCCTAATCCCGTGCAAATTAATTTCCACCCCAACAAATCTGCTATGCTCATTAGTCAATACAAATTCTGGTTTTAGCTGGGGATTTATGTACAAAACCACTCAATTTTTTCTGCTAAAATAAATTCTTCACCTAATTTTTTATAATTCAAATATTTTTGTCCAATTTTCTACTATGTATCTCTTGTAGGCAAATTAAATTTTAGTTTAAGTTTTTTAAATAATGACTTTTTTCTATTTTGAACAGCATTTCCTTTATCAATATTTTTAAAGTATTTGTGATCTATAATAAAGACAAAACATTACAAAAATTAATACCTGTAGCTACCTACTTCAATATTATCCCTTTCAGTTTCCTGTTGCATCTGTTGAAGTTTTTGTGTAGTCTTATCTGATACCCTTATTTGAATCTCCTCCAATTTTCTTTAATTTTTTTTTAGAAATTCACTTTCTTGACAAAACATAACTGAAACCTCTGCTGCTATCTGTCTGCAGGCAGTCTAATGATTCTCTCCTTTCCTCCATTTTTGCTGCCCTTCTGGTCACTGTCATTATATTATAATTTAAAAGCACAAGTGTCTCAACCCCCCCCCCAAGCTTCTCCATCCCTATTTTTTCTGTTTTGTTTTCCTGTGCCCTAAATATTTTGATCTCGTTGCACTCCATAGTTATAGGCAGGGCCTAATGCCCGCGTGACACTCAGGGCGGGGTCAGCATCCATGTGACACTCAAGATGCTTGAGTGATGTTTGGGGCGTGGCTAGCGTCCACGCAACACTCAGAGTGGAGCTAGCACCCATGCAACACACAGTACAGCGCTAGCTTGAGTAGGGTACACCAATTGTCTGCCCTCTTTAATAGTAAACAAAAATATTTCCATAAAAGTCTAATTTGTTTGTTTCTTTTAATTCAGATTTATTCAAAAGCACTTTCATAAAAAGTAATCTTTCAAAATAACTATTTCCTTTATTCATTTTAAACTTTCCTGGATTGATTCCTTTTTAAGCTTTTTGTCCAAAGGTTTTAAAGTCTTTGTAATCCAGAAAGAATAATAACTCACCAAGTGGAATTTTTATCCTGTTGCTCTTTAACTGTAAATTAGCTACATCTCACAATGTTTAAGAAATTAGGCTTGTCCAAGTCTTATGCCCATATAGGTTGCATTGCTTATGATCTTGACTGAAATTCCTCCCAGCATCCAATTCACAAGCAGATCACAAAAATTTCATGGTGAACTTGATGTCCCTGAAGGAGTGGAGACAGCATTATGGTGGAGATTGGTGGCCAGACAGCAAATTCTGGCCACCAAAGACTCTTGAGAAAAAAAAAATCATACGATTGCCCACTTGCACCCCAGAAAGCTGTTCCTCATGAGCAGCCTGCATGAACACATGTATTCAATAATTTCTCTATTACCTTAAATATTCTAATTTGGCAACAACTTTTGGAGACTTTGTCAGGTTTGTACCCAAGGCCTTATACTGTGTGCTAGTGTAGACTTTCAGAGGAAAGAAATTCCATTTAACTAAATTATCATATGGATGTTCTACTCTGAGGAACCAATGTGGATGTTCTATGCTGAAGAAGGTAGCTAATAACCAATAACTTTAATTGCTAAATTTACATGGATATTGGGGTCAATGGCTCTTATGGTAACTGAAGGACTGACCATCCTTATAATAATAATAATAGTAGTAGTAAAGTTGGAAGGGACCTTGGAGGTCATCTAGTCCAACCCCCTGCTCGGGCAGGAAACCCTACACCATTTCAGACAAATGGCTGTCCAGTCTCTTCTTAAAAACTTACAGTGTTGGAGCATTTACTGCTTCTGGAGGCAAGCTGTTCCACTGATTAATTGTTCTCACTGTCAGGAAGTTTCTCCTTAGTTCTAGGTTGCTTCTCTCCTTGATTAGTTTCCACCCGTTGCTTCTTGTCCTGCCTTCAGGTGCTTTGGAAAATAGCTTAATTCCCTCTTCTTTATGGCAGCCCCTGAGATATTGGAATACTGCTATCATGTCCCCCCTTGTCCTTCTCTTCGTTAAACTAGACATACCCAATTCTAGCAACCGTTCCTTATATGTTTTAGCCTCCAGTCCCCTAATCATCTTTGTTGCTCTTCTCTGTACTCTTTCTAGAGTCTCAACATCTTTTTTACATCGTGGTGACCAAAACTGGATGCAGTATTCCAAGTGTGGCCTTACCAAGGCATTGAAGAGTGGTATTAATACTTCACGTGATCTTGATTCTATCCCTCTGTTAATGCAGCCTAGCACTGTGTTGGCCTTTTTGGCAGCTGCAGCACACTGCTGGCTCATATTTAAGTGATTGTCTACTAGGACTCCGAGGTCCCTCTCACAGTTACTACTATTGAGCATGGTGCCACCTATGCTGTACTTGTGCATTTGGTTTTTCTTGCCTAAATGTAGAACCTTGCTTTTTTCACCATTGAATTTCATTTTGTTAGTTAGTGCCCAGTGTTCAAGTCTGTCCAGATCCTTCTGTATCTGAAGCCTGTCTTCTGGAGTGGCTATTCCTGCCAGCTTGGTGTCATCTGCAAATTTGATAAGTTCCCCATCTATCCCTTCATCCAAATCGTTGATGAAGATGTTGAAGAGTACTGGGCCCAGAATAGAGTCCTGGGGCACCCCACTACACACTTCCCTCCATATAGATGCAGTTCCATTGAGGACCACTCGCTGAGTACGGCCGGTCAGCCAGCTACGGATCCATCTGGTGGTGGTTCTGTCTATCCCACATTTTTCTATCTTGTCAAGTGGTAGGTTGTGATCTACTTTATCAAATGCCTTACTGAAGTCCAAGTAAATTATGTCCACACCATTCCTCTGATCCACTAATTTTGTCACTTGCTCAAAGAATGCAATAAGATTTGTCTGGCATGATCTATTTTTGACAAACCCATGTTGGCTTTTAGTAATGACTTTGTTTGCCTCTAGGTGTTCGTTGATTCGTTGTTTGATTATCTTTTCCAGGATCTTCCCAGGTATTGAGGTCAGGCTGATAGGTCTGTAATTTCCTGGATCCATTTTTTTTCCTTTTTTGAGGATGGGAACTACATCAGCTCTTTTCCAGTCCTCTGGTAGTTCCCCTGTGTTCCAGGATCTTTGAAAAATATAGTTCAGTGGCTCCGATATCACATCTGCCAGTTCCTTGAGAACTCTGGGGTGTAATCCATCTGGTCCTGGCGATTTGAACTCATCTAGGCTGGACAGGTGCTCACTAACGATTTTCTTGCCTATCTTAACTTGTGTTTCTGTTTTGTTTTTTGTGGCACTATTTTTGATAGGTTGGTCTGTTTTTTCCCTTTGTGTAAAGACAGATGCAAAAAATGAGTTAAATAGTTCTGCTTTCTCCCTGTTGCTTGTCACCTTCTTGCCACTTCCACCCACTAATGGACCAATCATTTCCTTCACTTTTTTCTTGTTTTTTACATGTTGAAAGAAGCTTTTTTTGTTATTTTTGACTTTGGTCGCAAGCCTTAGTTCATTTTGAGCCTTGGCTTTCTTCACTTCATCTTTGCAGGCTCGGGCTATTTGCTGATATTCTGACTTAGTTATGTTCTATTCATTTTGCAAGCTTTTTCATGTGATCAGAGTTTAAGCATTACAGTAATTTGTACCTTTCCTGTCTTTTTTTCACTAGAAAGAGCCCGAGATTATCTACACAAGACAGGAAGATTCATTGTCATCGGTGGAATAGTCTCACCCGTACATGACTCATATGGAAAACAGGTGGGTGTATTCTTTTTTCTTTTCTTCCTTGTTCACAATCAAAACTGTGGGGAATGAATACTAGGCACCCTAAGATGAACAAGTGTGACATCTGTTGGAGAAAGCAACTAGCATAAGCAATCTATAGCATAAAAGTGGCAAGTTTGTGGATTAATGGGTTAAATGATTTTTTTTTCTTCATTAATTTGTCACAATACATTTCTTCTAATTTTTAAATTATCATCTGAAACACAATGCTCTATGCCAGTGTCATCATGGGATAGTTCATTTTCTAAAATTATCACTTAGTTCCCACTGGATCCCTGTAAACCAGCTATAGTGGCATTTGGGGAAAAGAGCAAGAGATCATGCTTTACTGTTTTCATCAAACATGGCCATAGTACATAATGCAACAGAATGGAGTAATTCTTCGCAGACTTTTTTTTTTTTTGTTACCATCTCCATTTAAAAAGATCTCACATAGTTGAGAAAAAAAGTGTCTTACTTCAATTTTTGTTTTGTAATTCAGTATTGTTGTAAAGAACAGGCTAATCAGATGGTGACGTCCTTTATTTTTTTCTGCCCTTAAAAGACAAGTTTTGCCATCTGAAATTCTCTTCCTACATATTTATTAAAAATGCAGATGCCCAACTTTTTCTCTGATATTTGACCACCCTATAGTTAATTGATTTTAGACTAGGTAGCTTATAAGTAATACTAGCAATCTAAAAGCAGATAAGAAGGAAAAATATTTATATATAAGGCTAGAGTAGAAATGGGAAACTTTTAAGTATCTAGGGACTGTTCTTGAAAAATTATTTGGAGCAGCAAAATCTGCTGAAATGATGACATGGCAAGATTGGGACTTTGGGGAATTCATTTGAAGAGCATGGCAGTTTTTTATGCTGCATTGAACCTGTATTTTTTCTAGTTTTTCCTACCAATAATTGGCAAAGATTGTGCATCCATTCTTGATAGTTGGCTGCTGAAATTTAGCAATGTGATTTGTGACAGTTCCAGTCTGAAGTCTGTCCAACAGTGTCTGATGATTGTTTGGCACTGCTCATCTCTGAATTAGAGAACTGAGAGGCATTAAGTTTACCCAGCAAATATCACAATAAATGAGTTCGAATTGGACTTTGAAGCCTAAGACTAATAAAGCAGTTATTCTTGAATTTAACCTTTAAAAAGTCTAATAATCCAGAATCTCCCTTCATTAATTCTGACATATATTTCTTTACAGGGTTTGGTTTCCAGCCGGCATCGCCTGGCAATGTGTCAGCTGGCTGTTCAGAGTTCTGATTGGATAAGGTATAATAGCACATCTCATCATTCATATTCTCTGCAGTGGCTTGAGTTCTTCTGTTGGTGTGGTACTCGGGATAAGCTGCTTCACGGCAGGGACATCAGTAGTGTCTAAAAAAAAAAAGGCCGGATGATGGCTACAACTGTCCAATCAAAGCCCCACGCCTCACTTTACAGGTGTTGCTTATATTACAAATATAAAAAGGGGCAGCATTTTGATTGTGCAGCTATCTTGAACTTCTGATCCTCCAGGAGATGTCCCTGGCTCAGGGTCTGGGATCCATGGTTTTCTGATTCAGAGCATAGTTCTCTCTTATGAAATGCTAAGATACAGCAGGTTTACAAACTAAAATGCCAGATGCAACAAGAAGACGCTGTTTTTCAGTCTTTAAAACCTGATAGAGATGTGGAAGTTTCCTTTTCTTGATAATTGTTCTTAAGTGAGTGGATACATACATTTGAAATGAAATGAAATATACCTTCAGCAGCTTGGGCAGCCTCCACAGGAATGGTCTTCAACATCATGAATGTTTACCAATGGTCATGCAAATTCTGGGAATTGAAGTCAATATATCTGAAAGTTTCCTAAGTTGGCAAAATGTTTGCGCCAACCACTCTTGCAAGAACAGGTTTTTTTTTTTCAAGTGCACATTGATTTTACTGGGATAGCCCCTCACAAAAAGTTACTGATAGATATATCAGTAATTTGTTGCTTTGGGTCAGATTTGAGACAGCCAAACTAGAATATACGTGAAAGCATTCATTTAGGTCTATATTAGGATCTGCATGAATTATTTTTTATTAAAAAATTATTGCTTTTAAAATTACAGAAAAAAGAAAAAGAACAAACAGAGATAGCATGTTTCCCTGAAAATAAGACCCGGTCTTATACATTTTTTTGCCTCCAAAAGAGGCAATAGGTCTTATTTTCAGGGATGTCTTATTTTTTTTCCCAGAGCACTCCCATTTCCAAACGCCCCATAGGCACTCAAACATTTTGCACCTGGATGGAGAAATGATGGAGACTGGAAGTTTTGTCTGCTTGAAAATATGATGCTTGGAGACCGAGCAAATTGCTCAGTTTCTAAGCACCCCATTTGCAAGCAGACAAAGCTTCCAGTCTGCCTTTGGGCAAAAAGTGTGCAGCGCGTCCAGATCACCTGCCTCCCCCCCTCTGCCTTTGCACTTGGACTTACCTGCGCTGTGCCAAGAGGCCAGCGGGCTACTGCTGCTGCTGGACACCCCCGCGTACTCTCCACTGCTTCTGCTTGCCACGCCCACCCCCTGTGCTTATTTTTGGGGTAGAGCTTATATTAGGCCCAAAAAATCAGGCTAGGGCTTATTTTTGGAGTGGGCCTTATTTTCAGGGAAACACGGTATGTACATCAAAAAATACATAAATGCTTGAAAAAGTAAGTGAAAAAATACAGTGGAAAATTAGAAAGTAAGATATGTTATAGATGAATAGCATGGTTTTTTGCCTTCTATATTTGGAATAAAGGATTCCCAATTTTTATTATATTTATCAATACAAAGTCTACATCTATAGGCATTCCTCTCATAGGAAGTAAGTGTAAAATTTAACCTGAAATTTGTGCTGCCTAAATTTGACCTATTTTTCAAAGGTTTTGGAGTGTATGAAGTCTGTAGGCCAAAGCTTGCCTACCCTGATTAGATCCATGATCAAATTTTTGAAAATGTTTTGTGCTGCTAGCAAAGCAGGCCTCTCATTTAATATGCCCCTAGGAGCTTATGGCCTATTTCAGTGGCAAGATTTGCAGGTATTTCAGGCTTGGTCTAATTGTGTTCTTTTGGAGTCATGAAGCTGACGTCTTATTAAGTAAATAAACCTTAGATTAACTCATTAACCCCTCCCCACCGTAGTTATCTTGAATAGCCTTTTTTTTCATTAATGAGCAGTTAGCAACATTGTTAGCAAAAGCGTTTTAATTAGCAACTTCACATCTCTGAGAACCTAAGATGGAGAACATAAAGAAAAAAAATTGGCTGCTAAGAACATGTTTGAGAAATAGCTCAATTTAGCAGTTCATCAAGTATTCAATTAAGAGCTGGTACTGCCAGCTCAGCCTATCAGATTTTGATGCTTAAAAAAAAAAAGAAGCAGGCTGATGCTGGAGAACCTGGAAATTTGGGCATATTTTCACAGTACACTCGCTGACTTGTCTAAATGTGAGAAATTGGGATAGCTGCAGTGTGCTGCTGTACTTCCTGCATAGGATTCAACTGGTGAATGAGGAGTCAGTATTTCAAAAACTGTACAATATGGAGATGGATAGAAACCCAACAGACCACCTATCTAGTAGGCTTGATTCAATAAGATCCTGATAAAATGTAGAGCCAAATAGGGGTCAGGTTTTAATAATGTAGGATTTCAGTTCCCACAGCTCCTTTAAGCTAAGAAGTGCTGTAAAACAAATAAATATGAAATACCAGGATAGTGTGTTCCTTTCTAGCATAACTGTTTATTCTTTGTGTGGTCGAATTTTTGTATAAAGCAGACAAATTCCACCCACCACATTTCTTACCGCGTTTGATTTCTTCTTATAACCTTTTAAATATGTATTTTCTAGGAATATTATTCCTGTGGAAATGTACTAGTATTCGGCATCCCATCATCCAGAGTGAGCTATATAGTTTGTCAGTATCCAAATCCATCTGTATTAAACCATTGTCACTCATAGTTAGATAATATGCTAATATTGTGACCACTTAACATACTGTATGTACATAGTGTGGTATATGAGGTTGTCTTCTTCATTCCATATTTCAGTCTATCTAAATCAAGTAGTCCTCGACTTATGATCACAATTGATCACAACTTTTCTGCTGCTAAATGAGACATTTGTTAAGTGACTTTTGCCCCATTTTACAACCTTATTTGCCACAGTTGTTAAGGGGATCACTGCAATTGTTAACTTAGTAACACAGTTGTTAAGTGAATCTGGCTTCCCCATTGACTTTGCTTGCTGGAAGGTCACAAAAGGTGATCACATGACCCGGGACACTGCAACCATCATAAATATGAGTCAGTTGCCAAGTATCTGAATTTTGATAACATGACCATGCTGCAGTGGTCATAAGTGTGAAAAACAGTCATAAGTCACATTCTTTCAGTGCCACTGTAACTTCGAGCGATCACTAAATGAATGTTGTGAGCCGAGGACTACCTGTAATCATAAGGGTCCACCATCAGCCAACAAAGCTCACTGGATGTTATGGGGAGGTTGAGACTCCCTCCTCCTAGGGGCATACCATCTTGAGCTCCTGAAGTAAGATAGGATATAAAGACTGGAAAAGAGCTGATATAGTTCCCATCTTCAAAAAAGGGGGAAAAAATGGATCCAGGAAATTACAGACCTATCAGTCTGACCTCAATACCTGGGAAGATTCTGGAAAAGATAATCAAACAATGAATCAGTGAACACCTAGAGCAGACATGTCAAACACAAGGCCCGGGGGCCAGATGCGGCCCACAAAGTGGTTTCATGTGGCCCGCGAAGCCATCCTGGAAACAGTGAGGGAATGGCCCCCACTGCCTTGGCCCTGTGGTGGCCATCTATGCTGAAATGCATTCAGTCTTAGCTCCACAAGGCCTTCTGGAAACAGCAAGGAAACAGCCCCTGCCGCATCGGCCCGTCCCCTGGGTGCATGCTGGGGAGGTGTCACCCTTTGTGAGGAATGAAGAAATGCACCATCACCTGGAAGTGGCCAGCAAGTGGCCCTCGCCTAATTCACATATCTGGCTTGATGGGCTCTGCCCTTTCTGCCAGAGACCCTCAGACCCCCAGGTCCCCACAGGCACCCTTGACGCGAATGAGGTAGAGCTGGCCACCCCCACCCAGTAGGCCACACCCACTCCACCCACACCCACCCAGTACGCCATACCTACCTTGGCCACACCCATCTGCCCCCCCGAGGGCAACCGCAATGCTGATGTGGCCCTCGATGAAATTGAGTTTGACACCCCTGACCTAGAGGCAAACAAAGTCATTACTAAAAGCCAACATGGGCTTGACAAATCTTATTGCATTCTTTGACCAAGTGACAGAATTAGTGGATCAGAGGAATGCTGTGGATATAATTTACTTGGACTTCAGTATGGCGTTTGATAAAGTAGATCACAACCTACTACTCAATAAGATAGAAAAATCTTAGGGGGTTAGACAGCATCATCACCAGATGGATTCGTAGCTGACTGACTGGCCGTACTCAGCGTGTGGTCCTCAATGGAACCGCATCTACATGGAGGGAAGTGTATAGTCGGGTGCCTCAGGGCTCTGTTCTGGGCCCAGTGCTCTTCAACCTCTTCATCAACGATTTGGACGAGGGGATAGATGGGGAACTCATCAAATTTGCAGATGACACCAAGCTGGCAGGAATAGCCAACACTCCAGAAGACAGACTTAGGATATAGGAGGATCTGGACAAACTTGAACACTGGGCGCTATCTTACAAAATGAAATTCAATAGTGAAAAAAGTAAGGTTCTACATTTAGGCAAGAAAAAACAAATGTACAGGTATAGTATAGGGGGTACCTTGCTCAATAGTAGTAACTGTGAGAGGAGTCTCGGAGTCCTAGTGGACAATCACTTAGATATAAGCTAGCAATGTGCTGCAGCTGCCAAAAAGGCCAATACAGTGCTGGGCTGCATTAACAGAGGGATAGAATCAAGATCACGTGGAATACTTGGAATACTGCATCCAGTTTTGGTCACCACGATGTAAAAAAGATGTTGAGACTCTAGAAAGAGTACAGAGAAGAGCAACAAAGATGATTAGGGGACTGGAGGCTAAAACATATAAGGAATATTTGCTGGAATTGGGTATGTTTAGTTTAATGAAGAGAAAGATGAGGGGGGACATGATAGCAGTGTTCCAATATCTCAGGGGCTGCCACAAAGAAGAGGGAGTCAAGCTGTTCTCCAAAGCGCCTGAAGGCAAGATAAGAAGCAATGGATGGAAACTAATCAAAGAAAGAAGCAACATAGAACTAAGGAGAAACTTCCTGACAATTAGAACAATTAACCAGTAGAACAACCTTCCTTCAGAAGTGGTGAATGCTCCAACACTGTAAGTTTTTAAGAGACTGGAAAGCCATTTGTCCAAAATGATATAGGGCCGAGGCACAGGAGGCACGCAGAGCCCTCTCTGTGGGCACGGGTGCCGTCACCCCAGTCCTAGGCCTTCAGCTGGGTTTTATAAAACCATTTCACTTTAGGCCTCCGCCGCCGTGTACAAAAAAAAAAAGTTCAATCAATCAATCAATTTCAACTTCTTGCCGGGAAAAAAAAGATCTCGCAAAGTTGGAATTGATTGATAGAACTTTTTAGTCCCAACCAGTCTACCGTTACCACTGCAGCCACGCCCACTCAATGGCCCATCCAACTGGCCAAACCCACCGAGTGGCCACGCTCACCCAGCACCCGATGACACATAAGTGGGTTTTGGGTTGTAGTTTGGGCGCTCGGTCTCTAAAAGGTTCGCCATCACTGGTATAGGGTTTCCTACCTGAGCAGAGCGTTGGACTAGATGACCTCCAAGGTCCCTTCCAACATTATTATTATTATTATTATTATTATTATTATTATTATTATTAATCTAACAAGTAAGGGAGATGTTAACATGTACCCTGTGCAGCCATCATCTTTTTTTTACAACCAACTCCTACACACATTTCAGTGTAAGCACTCCTGTGCCAGATCTTTCCTTCATTTTTGTTTGGGTTAATGTCACACATCTGTTTTCCACATTCCTCCCTCATCTCATCTCAAATTTTGATACGAAGGCCTGAATCAGAAACTAGATTTGTTCAAGATGAAGTCGACCCCAATACTTGTTATTAGAGAGAAGAATCTAAATGCCCAGGAGAAAAGGCAGCTCGGTTTTATTTGATGATAACACTGCATGACTGTAAGTATATTGGAAAAACTCTGGTACAGTTAGTTTACTCCAAACTGCAAGCATGACAGGATTGTTGCTGTAATAAACAACAATTTATTACTACATTTTCTGTCATGTTTGATAAAGAAGCATTTTCCAGTTGATCCGAGCAAAGTTTTGCCAAGGAACAAGTAGACTATCCTGCAATCAGATGACAAGTCCATTATGAAATCTACTCACCATCTTAACTTTAAATTGGCAGGACTGGTGTAAATTCTATGACATATTTCAAGATGTTCCTAGCTCCGGTATCTGTTCCTTTTATATTATTTTTGAAAAGCCAGCTTATAGAAAGGCAGACTACTCTCTGTCCTCCAATATTGAAGTCAGTAAACAGTGTAATGATACCAGCAAAAAAATTCAGTGATGTCAGCAGAGCATAAAATGTATCATAAGCTCAGTATAAGAATGTATGCAACCAAATCAGTTGATTTCACTTTGTCAGCAACATAATTCTACAATTGGTAGTTATTCAATCTCCTCCTTGGTTTGCCTTTGGGAGGGGATTGTGGCCACAGGCCAGTACATACTTTATATAGCAAATCCATTAAAAGTAAAGGAAACTTTTTCTTCGTGTTGAGTTTGGCTACTCCTTCCATATAATTCTCTAATCAGCCATATGAACCTGGTTTGAACATGGCTGTTTCCTGGGATGTTTTTTTTTTTAACTTGTTACAGCACAGATTTCAGGGTGATCTCTTCCTACTTTTCAGTATTAACCAAAATCAGGTAGATGTGATATATTTATACATTATAAGATGATGGCACATAATACAAATAGATCAGATGCATTTGATTGGAGGGGTGGAATCCTCCCAAACAGATACAGTATCAGTGGCTGACAGATCGAGAACCTGAACCAAATGCAAATTCTTGTGTGGGCCTATAAATTTTTTGTCTCCCTGTTTTCTTTGGGGCAAGAGAGTGTCTCGCATTTGGGGTTGACTTCCTTTCAGATGAAATGGTAAATAAAAGTTTGCAATTAAATATTATATATTGATACTTTAGATGTAATTGTTATTTGCTATTGCCAAATCAATTTTTTCTTTCTTCTTCATCATAGGGTGGACCCCTGGGAATGTTATCAGGATACCTGGCAGACCACCTGCAGTGTACTGGAACATCACCGGGATCTGATGAAAGTGAGTTAATAGCTGAAACTGACCACAGAGTTCGAGACTGCAGGGCTAGGGATATTAAATATGTATTATTTATTGAAAATATGATGGAAAGTGACTTCACTTCAGAAACTAGATGTCAATGCTGCAAATACTGTATATTCTTGCTTTGACAATATGCAAAACTGTCTGGCATTTATTGAGTTAATACTTAGCTTAGACTGGGTGGGGGAAAAAGCCCGGGAAAGAAAGAGGAAGTAAACGTTTGACCTTCTCACTAATTGGATAATGTGACCTGTGACTGCATGAGAAGGGAGGGGTTGAGCAAGGAAAGCTTGATGCCAGCGACAGGAAGTTCAGATTCTGGCATCAACCAGTCCATCATGGTGACCGGCAAAACTGTAGCTCTGAAAATAAAGATTTTAGGAAACATGCCTGAAAGTTCTTTGAAGTGCTTCATTAGTCGGAACCTGTGACATCATGCCAGAATCCAACACTCTTTTCAAACGATTGGCGTTCCGATATCTAACAGCTGCCTCTATGCCTAAGAGAAGCTGGCAAAGTTTCGGGGGAGATCTCATTATGGAGAAAGAAAGATTGCCTGAAACCAGCCCCGTAGCTGCAACAGTTTCCCCGGGGGGGGGGGGAAGCGACAGCCAGCAAGCTGGGGGAGAGAGAAATTTGGCAGATTTCCCAGCTCAGAGCGAAGACTTCAAAAGCAGAATGGACAGATAACACAGTTATGGGTGAGTCGTTGGAAGGATTTCAAAACTTAGAAATGAGAAACAGAAAACAGTTCCTACAAAGTGAAGCCTTCAGCCCTCCTGATACAAATGTTTCTGCCATGGGCTCCAGCCCTAAGAGAGAGAATCCCAGTTTGAATCCTCTGCAGCAAAGGGGAAATTGGGTTCCCCAGCAAGTGGCTGATCCATATCCTCTGAACTTACCACAGCTAATAGAGGCCTTGCAATGTCTTGGGGTGGCACAGAAGCCAGGAAATCAGCAGCTGGGGGGACAACAGCCACAGCAAGGAGGTTGGCCACAGCCCCCAAACGTGCAACCCCTGGGCATAAATCTGCAGCCAGGTTGGGGCCTACAGCAACTGGGGTGGTCACAAGAGCAGTGGGGAGCCCAGCAGGAAGCCTGTCAGACCCTGCCTTTGCTGGTCAGAGACCCCAACCCTGAAGAGAGGGTGAGTTCCAGTCTGAGGCATCTGCAGCAATGGGTAGATGGATTTCCCCAGCAGATGAATGATCAGCAGCAGCAGAGGGCACCACCACCCCCTGCAGTCCAACAACAGAGAAGACCACTACAACCCCCACTTGCGCAGCCACCATTGGGAGGCCTATAGCAGCAGGGGGTACCATCCAACCCCGCTGGCCAGCAGCAGAGGGCCCAGCAGCCATGGAACCAGCCCCAGTGGGGGCCACAGCAGCCTGTGTTCGCACCACCCTTCAATGCAACGTTCGATGGGGACCCAGAGAAGCTGATTTTTTTCCTCAACCAAGTGCGTTCTCATTTAAATTGCTGGGCCTATCTCTATCCGGAACCAGGGGCCATGGTTGACGTCGTTGCGGCCAACCTGGAGGGAGAAGCATCTGAATGGCTGAACAATCTATATAGTGAGCAAGCCCTCGAATTGGAGGATCCCCATCTCTTTCTCTTAGGACTGAGAGAATGATTTGAAGACCCATCCATCGGCCTCAAAGCAGCAGGACAAATTCACAAAATAAAACAAGCAGGGAGACCTGCCCTGGAGTACGTGCGAGAGTTCCGCAAGATGGCAGGTCGAATAGAGGGGTGGCCTGAGCAGTCCCTCATCCATCACTTCATCGAGGGATTAGATGATCACCTCTCCCAGGCTTGCATCTATCGAGAAGTACCTGAGCGGCTGCAGGAGTGGTACCAGACGGCCGTGAAGCTGGATGTTAAGCTCTCTCGCTATAAAAAGCCTCCCCCACAGGAACCCGAACAGCAACCAGAGCTACCTGGACAGCAATCACCCCCACGAAAGCCTTCAACTACTGCAAGGGCTGAGAGACCCAGGCCACCTGCACGCTCTTCCTTCGAGTGTTTCCGGTGTGGACAAGGAGGACACCGAGCGGCCACCTGTCCAGTCCCCTACCCTCGACTGCAGAGCAAGCCAGGACCGGCGATGCAAAAGAAACCTGCTCAGCGGCTAACAAGAGAAAAATCCAATCGACTCACGCAAGAACCAGTTGCCCAGGTTACACCCCACACACAGGAGGATGCCAAGACTCCAGGTGGACCTGCCCCTGCTCTTCCCTTCTTTGATAGCGACGATGAAGGAGAAAACGACCCAATGGTGAGTCAACAAATCCTGCCTTTTTCACTGCCCGCCAAACTTGTAATCCCTAAGTCTGGGGCACAATTAGACTTAAATGTACTAATTGATTCGGGATGTACCCGCTGCATTATTAGTCTGGCGTTTGCCATGAAAATGGGCATAAGGGCAAAACAGCTTTCCAAACCGATGAGATTTGAGCAAGCCGATGGCTCCCTAATGGGAGGGACTCTTATTACACAATTAACTGAGCCCTTACGCCTAGAAATAGGTGCACACTGGGAGTTTATTCATTTCCTGGTGGTTCCGAAAATGACCGAGGCAGTGATCCTAGGACTAGCCTGGTTGGACAAATGGAAGCCGTTTATCTGGTGGGAGAAAGGAATGAGAATTGTGAGACTACCTATAGGCCCTGATCCCCCCATTGATTCAACAGATGTTACCGGGCATCTTAGGCCACCCAATGAGCGAGCGCACATGGCCGCCTCACTGACCCCAGGTGAACCAGTCATCCCCAAAGAATACTTGGACCTGGCGGAGGTGTTCAGTGAAAAAGAATGTGATGCCCTACCCCCTCACAGACCCAATGACTGCTCCATCGAACTGGTGCCCGGAGCCAAACTCCCACGTCCGAGGATGTATGCTATGTCCCCCCTCGAAATGGAGGAGATGCAGCGATATGTGAACAAGAACCTAGCGAGGGGGTTTATTGAACGGGCCAAATCTTCCGTGGGAGCCCCTGTGTTGTTCAAAGAGAAAAAAGATGGGTCTCTTCGTCTCTGCGTAGACTACAAGGGACTCAATGCTGTAAGTGTGGAAAATAAATACCCCCTCCCCCTCCTAAAGGATTTATTGACCCATCTGGCTAAAGGGAGTGTCTTCACTAAGTTAGACCTAAGAGAGGCATACTACCGGGTGAGAATAAAAGAGGGAGACGAGTGGAAAACTGCCTTCAACTGTCCTATGGGGAGCTATCAGTTCAAAGTCATGCCATTTGGACTACAGGGGGCCCCAGCTGTATTTATGCAGTTGATCAATGAGGTTCTACATGATCACTTGTACAAAGGGGTTTTGGTGTATCTTGATGATATCCTGATATACAGCACAAACATGACTGATCACATAAAGCTAGTGAGAGAAGTGTTAAAGAAACTATTGAATGTCAAGCTTTATGTCAAATTGTCAAAATGTGAATTTCACCAAACCCAATTAGACTATCTTGGCTACCGAATTTCCAATGAGGGTATTGAAATGGATCCAGCCAAGGTGAAAACTATAATCGAATGGCAGCCCCCAAGGACTCGCAAACAGCTCCAGAGCTTTCTGGGTTTTGCCAACTTTTATCGTCAATTCATCCCTTCTTTTGCAGAGATTGCCCTTCCTCTTACAGAACTACTCAAAACAGGCAAAGGAGGAGGGAAGCCACGACCGGGCCAACCACTAGCATGGACAATGAGCTGTCAAACAGCTTTTGAGAATTTAAAGAGACTATTTGCGGCTGAACCGGTTCTAAAGCACCCCTGCCCAGGGGAACCCTTTGTGATTCAAGCCGATGCCAGCGATGTGGCGGTTGGAGCAGTGTTACTTCAAAAGAACAAAAATGGAATCCTGCAACCCTGTGCCTACACCTCTAAGAAATTCACTGAGAGCGAGCGAAGATGGGCAATCTGGGAGAAAGAGGCCTTCGCAATTAGGTGGGCGCTATTGAACTGGCGACACTATCTAGAAGGGAGCAAGGTGCCATTTGAGGTATGGACAGATCACAAGAACCTAGAGGCACTGAAAACTCCTCGCAAATTGTCACCAAAGCAAGTACGGTGGGCACAGTACTTTAACCGCTTCAACTTCACTCTAAAGTACATACCAGGAGGAAAGAACTTTCTAGCTGATGCGCTATCCCGGTTACCCCAGTACAAAAGTGAACGAGAGCAGGTTAACGAGGCAATTATTCCCAATCCACAAACTGTCACTCAACTTACACCTCGCAGGGTCCCCAATCCGGATGACCCTGGAGTGAAGAAAATAAAACGAGAGCTCCTCACTGACCAATGGTTCAAAGATAATCAAGCGTCCCTAACATGCAGGGATGGCTTGGCTTACAAAGGGGGGAAGTTATATTTGCCAGAAGCACTCCGTCTAAATGCTCTCAACCACAGCCACGATGTAAAGCAGGCTGGACACTTTGGATATTTGAAAACCCTACACCTCACCCGCCGGCAATTCTGGTGGCCGGGGCTGAAAAAGTATGTGGAAAACTATGTAAAAAGTTGTACTGTATGTGCCACAATGAAAAGAATCCCGGGGAAAACTCCTGGGTTACTGCAACCCGTGGCAGACCCTTCTCAACCCTGGGAAGAAATAGCTATGGACTTTATAGTGGACCTACCTGAAAGTAAGGGAAATACTGTCATCTGGACTGTGATAGACCTGTTCTCGAAACAGGCTCATTTCATCGCCTGCAAAGGACTCCCATCCGCCCAACGCCTGGCCAAATTGTTCCTGAAACATATCTACCGGCTGCATGGTGCCCCTAAGCGAATAATCTCAGACAGGGGGGTGCAATTCACAGCGAAGTTTTGGAGAAATTTCCTTACATTGATTGGATCATCTCAAGGGTTATCATCTGCTTTTCATCTAGCCACCAATGGGGCCGCTGAAGCCGCTAACAAAATGGTGGAGCAATATCTTAGGTGTTACGTTTCTTACCAACAGACGAACT